AGGTCCCGGGGGGGGGGGGTGGGCGACTGAGCTGGGCCCATATGTATTATATAAGACATATATAAAATGTTTTTATTTTGGAGTTAGTACTTAGTCTACCTAGGACACCTAGTCAAGAGATAAACTTGTAAACAAGGTGAATTACTCCAAGCATTAGAATGCAACCTCAAAATCCCACTCGCCTTCTTCTTCAAGTAACCCGCGCAGTCAGTCTGCAGAACCATGCACATCTTCGATACGCCGCCAACCCTCATCATCTCCGTAACCACCGCCGCCGTGCCCGAGTATCTCGCTATCGACTCCAGCACGCACAGAGCCAGGTCGTCCGTCGCCGCTGAAACCCTCAGCAGCCTCTTCGCCACCACCGCCACCCCTCCCGCGTGCCTCAGCAGCTGCTGCCGCCCGTCGGCGAACGAACACAGGTGCGCCAGTAGACAGAACACAAGCTCCGTCGTCCTCTTCTCCGGCGGGTTTCTCAACTCCATTTCCACCAGCTCGAAAACCGCCCCCGCCTCCACTATCTTCGTCTTGCTTCTTCCCAACTTACAGGTTTCTGTAAGGATCTGGATCGCCGCTCTCGTCGCCGCCGGCGAGATATTCATCCTCAAAAACTCCACCATTTTCTCGAAAAATTCTGTATTCAAACCCTCGATTAAACTATAATTCGCAACTTCGATTACGTTTTTCAAGACTGAAAGAGCTTGGGTATTCAAACCCGTGTTTTCCGCGTCGATGGTAAGAACCCAGATCAGAGATTCGACGAAGTCGAGGTTTTCACCGACCATGATCTTCTTGGCTTCTGATGAAGTGGGCCCCCACGTGAGGTGTAGAATTCTCAGTGCAGTATCGATTCCCACGTTTCTTACATCCTTGAAACACCGTACAATGAAAGAAACCATCGCCTTCGCCACACCAGCTTCCGCCATTAATTTCTGGTTCTTTTCACCTTCATCCGCAATCTCCTCTAATTTCTTCAAAGCGACGCCGTTTAACGAAACACTATTAATTCTGCTGACGTCACGGACGAGTTTGAGAATGAGAGATCGCCGGACCGGAGATTTCGGAGTCGGAATTCGATCGACGCCGCTGTCGGCGTTGACGACGCACCAGGCCTGGATTAGCCGCCGGAGCATGTGGTTCGGGGTGAGGTCTGATGCTGCTCGGGGTAAAGGCTGCTTCGTGACTGGACAGACGGCGGCGGCTGCGGCGGCGGCCGGGGTTTTCAGCCACCGCTCGATGCTTTCCCGGTCGTAGGTGATGCCGGTGACGGCGGTGACTGGGTCTTTCATTATTTGGAGAGATATGGGGCAGAGGAAATAATGGGGTATTTCGATTTCGTCCATTAATA